AAAAAAAAATTACAATACTATTTTTGCGTTGTATGAAAATTTTTGTTGCTCCGTCTAAAATTTTTAATCAAGCCCCCCCCCGCCCCGGTCAAAGGTGTCCCTCTTTATCAATCTGAAAATCTGGTCACCTTAACAATAACATGTAGGAATATCATATCTGACCTGAAATATAAAACCCTTCTAGTCCTATATGAAAATAGTGTTTGCTGAAGACGTTACTCTTAACAATGTGCCTTGTTCTTGCATAGCTTTTTAAATGTATAATAAAAACCTGAAATAAGGTTCTCAGATTGTCTAATAATAGTGTTCACCAATCTTGCAAGTTTTAAGATATGTGGATCTATACTTCGAATTCTGCAGCCATATACAGTGTTCAGAGAGTTGAAGTTTAAATGTCTTAAATTTGCCAAAGTTGAAAAACACTCGTGTCTCCCATTTATTACTGCAACTATAAATTCAAGGTTTCACAGTCGTTTTTGGAATTCCGTGCATGGAGTTCTCTACTTTCTTAGTTCTGTGGCGCAGAAAGGCAAAGCGCCCTGCGTGCGCATGCGTGGGAGAAGAAGCTGAGCCTATGTTTTGCCCTCGGCCATGGTCGTGTCCTCTGTCTCCCGCTTTGCGTCCAAATACCGCCCAGCGCCTCTAGCGAGCTTGCCGCCTCAGCTGGACCCCAACGAATACCAATGGACCCCCGAGAAACGCCGCGCGGAAGCCGAGCGGGTCGCCCTCCGCTCCCGCATCAAGCGCGACTACTTCCTGCGGCTCAATGACCCTCGGCGGACGCAGCTCCTCGTGAGTAGCGAGAGGGGACGGGGCTTCCTTCCCGAAAGGGAGGCGTCAGGCGCGCCGTGGAGGTCCTCCGTTCTCCTTTCTCGGGGATGTCGATCAGGTCGGGCCGAGGCTTCCAATGGGCCTTCGCCCTCCGAAGAAGAGTCGTCCGTGAAGAGGCTGCTTGGAGAGCCTGTTGCTTGTTCCTCCTCGATCGGAGGATGCAGGTGGTTGCAAGGTTTGGCGATGCCAGCCCGCTGCGCAAAGTAAAACTGAATCTCGCAACAGGAGTCCGTGGGGATCTCCGCCCCGCCCCCTGTTGCAAATGTTTCATATAGCACAGGAACCTCCAAACTAGACGACTTTGAGACTTTGTGGACTTCAACTCCCAGAATTCCTCAGGCAACCAAGTTGGCTGGGGAATTCTGGGAGTTGAAGTCTACAAGTCTTAAAAGTTGCGGAGCTTGGAGACCTCCGATTATAGTACGAGGTGCAGAAAAAGCCACGAAACGAGTGGTAGCATTAAGGTGGGCACAGGGGCTAGCTGCCATAATTGACTTCTTTCGTTGTGTAACTGGATAATTTTTCATTCTCTTTGGTTTAGGAAGATCCTGCTGTAATTCGTTGGGATTATGCCAGAAGGCAAAACGTGTATCCTAGTTATCGTTTTACTCCTAAAAGTTCCCTATTGAGTCTTCTTTGGGGAGCAGGGCCCTTTGTTTTCTGGTATTATGTCTTGAAAACCAATAGGGTAAGTTTTAAAAGTTTACATCATTCCTTTGCATGAGTATATCAATAGTTGGGTTTGCTGGTAGAAGTGACTTTCTGCCTGTAAATGCTTCAGGTGTCTCTAAAATCTAGGGAATGATGGGAAGCATAATGCAGCGTGTCCCCTTTACCATTACATTTGTGAATTATTTTTCTTCCAAGAGCTGGACAAATAGCTACTTTCCTATGGCGCTCTCTGAGCTTGCTTGTTTTCTTGCAGATGTTTCATTACCCTAACTAGGTAGCACCATCAGTGCTAGTAAGGAGTGCTGTTTGCTGTTAATTTATATATCTGAAGTTCTGCCAGCCTTCTGCCTGTTTGTCCTACATAGTGTTTGTTGCAGTTCTTACATTTAAGTTGTAGATGACTCCTGGTTTTTCTTGAATCTTTTCCTGGGTCTTTTGGTTTGCTTAGGATGTTTCTACCAGGATGAACATCAACCAAAAGACCCAGCAACCCCAGAAGAAAAAACAGGAGTCATCTACAATATACAGTGTAAGAACGGCAACAAATATTATATAGGACAAAAACAGGCAGAATGCTGGCAGAATGCATGATGAAAATTCGTTAATTTCACAACATATAGACAGATTTAACCATAGTTTTAATTGAGAAAATGTGATTATTTTTAGACCAGCCAAGTCCAAAAATGCCAGGGAATTTCTAGAAGCCTGGCACGCTGACAAATCAGCCATCAGCCATCAATAGATGCATAAACACTAACATCTATAGACTGCAAAGGAGACAATCAATGAGAATAAGACTCCAGGACCTCTCCAGTAATCAATCAGCAGTAAGGTCACCATAGATTAAATCCAGGTTAACATCAGACCAACAATCAAGTAACCAATACCCCAATCAAGAGATTGCCAAAGAGCTATCAGTAAACAGCCCAACCAAAACATTTCTTAAGACCACCCCCACCCACATAGACAGGTAGAACGCCAAAATATAAACTGACAGCAAACAGCACTCCTTACTAAGGTAGCACTGATGATGTTACCTAGTTAGGGTAATGAAGGGTAATGTGCAAGAAAACAAGCAAGCTCAGAGAGCACCAAGGACCCCCCATTTCAACCCTGTCGCAAATATTCTCTTTTATTGCTACCTTTCTATGAAATTCTGTGCTTGAAAATATCTTTATGGAAGGTGCTTATCTCATTGGGCTGAACAGTGGGGGCCTTTTGAAATCCAGGTCCCTCTGGCGATTGGTACAGTTCATTTCTGAATTTACAGTTAAAAGAGACTCTTCACTGACATTGGAACCCACTTCGAAAAAAATCCTTGGTGCATGCTTCCGGTGATTCATAAAATTATAGTTCGCCTATACAATGAACTAAACAAAGAAAAGGGCACTCTTTTTATTTATTTTTTTGCTTGGAAATAAATTTATTACATTTAAAAGAAAAGGCCGTTTGGTATATGTTTTGAAATTTAAGAGACCTGTAAGTTTAGTTGTAGGTAACCAAACAATGAATTCTCTTTAATTATTGCCGCAAAAAAAAACAAAAAACCCACCACATAGAAATAGGTAAATACCATTGCTGTTACTATTTTGTCTTTTTAACAATTGCAGTATTTTTATTTCTTTAGTCCTTAAAGTTACACTTTCCCAGATTTCTGATTCATTTACAGGTAGTCCTCGATTTACAACTACAATTGAGCCCAAAATTTCTGTTGTTAAGTGAGAAATTTGTTAAGTGAGTTTTGTTTCATTTTATGACCTTTCTTGCCTCAGTTGTTAAGTGAATCACTGCAGTTGATAAGTTAGTAACCTGGTTGTTAATTAAATCTGGCTTCCCCATTGACTTTGCTTGTCAAAAGGTTTCAAAAGGTGATCACATGACCTTGATACACAGCAATGGTCATAAATACGAACCAGTTGCCCAGCATCTGAATTTTGATCACATGACCATGGGATGTTGCAAAGGTTGTCACTGTGAAAAATGGTTATAAGTCACTTTTTTCAGTGCTGTTATAACTTTGAACAGTCACTAAGTCAAGGACTACCTGTATTTTCTGGGGAAGTGTTACCATTAAATTAAGACTACTTAAATAACATAGAAGTAGCCCTGTGATGGCAGCATGCTGGTTTAATTTACTTAAGTGGAATTAATAAAATGAATTTCTAAGTTAAAATACAGTTTAATTCTGTTTGAATTCAGTTCTGAGAAACAAGCATTCAGTACTCCCAGTCTTGATCAGTAACATGATTTACATTGTTAGTTTTATTTAGTTATATCAGATTTTTCAAATATATCATGTCGTCATCCTTATTTGTGTTAGACATGCAATTGGACCATGTGAAAGTAAACATTAAAAATGAAGAACAATATCAATACATTATAGCTTAAAGTGTCTACATTTAGTTTATTCCTATACATGTTTAATACTGGGATTTTTTATACTGCCTTGCAATGTTAAACAGACTAGTATACAATATTTTAATAAAACAAAAAGCTAACTCATAAATTTGCATTGTTAGTTGAATTTTCTCCAAGTAAGGATTGGAGGTTTTTAAGAAAAGGTTGAACAACTATTTGTCCAGAAAGGTATAGGTCTCCTGATTGAGCAGGGGAATTGGATTAGAAGACCTCCAAGGTCTCTTCCAACTCTGTTACTCTGTGATTCTGCTCAGTGCTTGGAAGAAGGTTTCTATTTTGAAATGACTTTAATCCTTGGAATTTCTTTTTCTGTGCAGGATTATAAAGAAAGACTCAAATCAGAAGGCAGATATGACGAGGGATTCCGTACTGGCTATTAAGTCTATGTGTGAAAATTATGTATAAAAATCTTGCTGGAGAAACTTTATTTCTCTGTAAGTCTACTTTCAAAATAAACCTTACTAAATAAATTATGGTTTATTTCATGTCAATAGTATTACTTTATAGTGAGACCTGATGAATTAATAACAATTTTTATTTTTTAAAATAAAGCAAACTATTTCTTTTTCTCCTTCCCAGTTCCCATAATGGCCTGCAATTATGTCATTGAAATCCAACCCTTATATGATTGATTTTCCATATCCCTAAGAATTTTTTAAAAGAATTTTTAAAAACTATTTAGACATTTGAACATAATGTTCCTTTAATTTCTTAGTTCAACGGGATGTGGGTATTTTCATCTTGAACTGTTCACATCATAATTTATGGGTTTGTTTCAAGTATTTGATAAATTCCTTTCTCATAACAGTTCCTACTGTATTAGTGACAATGGAGAAAAATTTACATTGTAGTTGCAACTTTACGTTTCTATCTGATAGATCCATTGCTTTTTTTTAATGTCTTCTGAACTTTCTCTAACCTGGTTCAGATGGTGTGAAGGAATTCTCACAGAAATACTGCACTGTGCGGAGTATTTTGAATAAAAATGTAACTGTACAATTCTTCAGATTCAGAATTATAAAGGGTCCATGAAGAGGATCCAAAATGGTGACAAACTAGCAGCTTCGGAAATAAGCTTTCAGTTGTACGTCTGGCTTAACCCAGCACTCCAAAATGCCACACAAAGGCAAGAAAAGAACCACACAAGTCCTAACAAAGTTACTGGAACCCATAAATCTTAACAACCTAGAGTCATAAAGTGCTTCGGAGTCAGCAACCTGTTGTTAAACCAGTAGGATCCCACCCCTGCCGACCTGGGATTTAACTCGGCACAAGTCCAGATTACTTGATGAACTGTCTCACCCCATTGGAACAGACCCACCCACTTGCATTGGCAGAGGAGGTATGCTGTGGGCCCAGTCAGTCAGTCTGTCAAGGAATCCCAGTTGGCACAGTCCAGGAGAAGAGTGGCTCCTGCCCTGTGGACCATCGTGCCATTTGAGATGAGATTGACTCCCTCTCTTCTGACCTTCTGTAAGGCCTGAAGACCTTGTTCTGCCAGATGGCTTGATGACCCAACGAGGGCATCATGCTGGATGTGATAGATGAATTAAGAGGCAATCCCACTTTCTCCTCCTGCACATCCTGTTCCTTCCATTTTTAACTATAATTCTATTTTTCATTGTATTTTTCTTGTCTTAAAAATATTTTTCTTTTATGATTTTAATGTTTTTAATGCTGTAAGCCACTCAGTCACTTTGAAACGGGATGGGCAGGAAATAAAGTTAATAAATAAATGTGTGTATATTTCAGTCTGTAGCAATATATAGCCCTAATAATCACCACTTTAATTTGTTTGATGGGCATGGTAGTAATTAGTCCGTATATAGATCTTGTTCAAAAACATGAATTGACACAATTATAATTCCTTTGTTTGCATCCATTTTTTTCTGTATAGTTATTTCATATACAACCCAGGATAAGCTGCCATGTGGAAATACCTCTTGAAAGCTTAGCAGTGTGTGAATAAATGTTATCAACATTTATCCCTGCTATCCCTAAACAAATTATTCTAGCCTATCTAGCTCTTTCCTAACGGCTATCAGAAAGGCAGCATCTCAACTCTACTTGAGTTGCACTTGCAACAACCCCTTACAAAAGTAGATCCCTCATTCTCACATTCTGGGAAGAGAGTCTGCATCAGTGCCCTCTGGCTGCCATCTGGAGTACATTTTAATCTCCAATCCAACCATGTAGGTGTCAATTTCCGTGTTGATATTCCACGCATAACGTCGGCAGAGCTGGATCTCAGATTACAGTAGCTGGTTTGAGACGTGTGTATTTATTGGGTAACGTGATTTATGACACAGAGTGAGGGGAGGAAAGGAAGAGGGGCAAAGTTCAGAAGCAGATAGACAAAGCGAAAGAAATGTCTGCGAATAAGAATTGCCTAATGAAGCTGTTAATAAATTGCTAGTTTTTGTATAAGAGACATTGGCTCTTATTATGTGTTCGTTACAGCATCATTAGGAACATTTACAGTAAGTCTCCATTCAATGTTCTTGCCCAGCCTCAAAGTCACTTCTCACAGCATCAGTTCTAGCTAATTGTCCAGTGCTGGAATGCATTGCAGAAAGTTTTGGGGAATGGTTTTTGCAGTCCTTGTCTTGATCTGGCCCATTTTCAATTGTTACCTGTGTCTTTCCTCCATCTCCAACCCTACACTTGACCCTGTTCTGTTTTGGAGTTATCTTATTGACAAGCAAAATTGTAATCCCCTTCACCTAATCTTTTCCTCAAGTTCTACTAGGCTGGAAAGAATTTTAAAAAGGGACACATAATAGAAAATGTAAAAATCAAGTAATTAAGAATACATACAGGTGGCCTAGATTTGTAGATGCTCTCATGAAAGCTAAAAGTCAGAACCTCTTAGATTACCAAAGGATGCTAGGATGCAACAAAAAAGACTCCTTCAGATACATTTAAAATAATAAAATAGGAAAAAAAATTGTATTCCAGTGAACAAAATTCAAAGTAATTTGTGGTAATAAAGTAGAACTGTTTAGTTCCTATTTTAGCTTGATCTTTCCAGCAAGAGATTATCTGTTTCACCAGCAATTATGAAAAGCAGGAATTTAGCTGACGCTTAATAGAAATTTAAGGAACATACACTAACCTTGAATTAATAAAAAAATTCAAGATTACATGGACTGTATCATGTATGATATCTTTTCTCTCTCCACATCCCCCCATTGCATTTCAGTCTGCCATTCAGACTCTGTCTTTCTCCTTTTGCTTGCCTGATCCTTTCCAATCCATCTTTTCTGCAACTTTGGGCCACAGCACCTTTTTCCTCTGAATTTTGATTTACTGTTTCAGCAAACCATATAAGTTTCAAGAAGAACCAAAAATATGCTGTTTCTCTTTTTTACTCCCCTTATCCCCATTCTTCTTCCTATCCTCTGCTTTTTCCTAAAACAAAGTGAACTAGTAGTCCTGAAAATGAGCCTTGTGAATTAATAGCATTCTTTACTGATTAAACAAATTACAGCTATTTTCCTGGTTTTCTTTTGCAAAGAAGATAGGCAGAAGAAATATCTGCTATATTTTGCAGAAAATTAAACTGAACATAAGCATATACATTGTTCTCCAAATGAGAAATTTTGTATCCTTCCCTAAATGGAAATTTCTCACTCTTGAGCTCAATGATATATTATGTATCTGAGAAATCACCTCATAAAAGAAGTTCTTCAACAACGTAAGTCTACATTGTTAAATCAAACAAGTTTTCTTGGAGTGCTTTTTTGTTTGTTCTTTTTTAATACTGGGTATGACATAATGGACTTACAGATATTTCCAATTTTATAATGGACAATTTTACATAAACACTTCACATTAGTTATTTTAATTTTTCAGCTAGTAGACATTAATTCTTTCAGATTTTCATACAAGATGGTTAAGATATTCTTCCATGATTTTCTTGAACGACTTGGGAATGAAGAAACTGGATGTGGATACTTTTGGTATCTTCATTTACATTTGTCATTAAAATTGATCTTCAGCGCTTCCCAACATTTGTAGTAATTCTTATCCAAGTTGGTTTTCAGCCCCCACTTGGTCACAGCCAAGCTAAGGGAAGATTCAAACATGAAGGCCTTGGGGAAAAAACAGAAGGCATATTGCAAGAGTAAATAGAGCAGTATTTGGTTTGAATGAAATGGACAAAAAAAAATACTGCTTTGCCTATTGTACACTATTTTAACTGATTTAAATCATGTTATTGCTATTTTGCTTTTATCATATGTTGGTGCTCATTTTATCATTTGGCTTGTTATATTTTATGTAATTTTGCAGAGAATTTAGATTTTAATATGAAATAAAATGTTAGAAAATCTAGGAATTATTGAGCTGATTGTCAAATATTTAGTTTATGAACATATCTTAACTAAAACAAGTTTAGCAGGAAGTTAAATTAATATTTCAATTAGTTATGAAATTATAAGCTATGTTTAAAAAAAAAGTCTGAGAAAAGAAGTCTCTCAGTTCCAGTGTGGGCAGGATGAGTCCCTGCAGGTTTTACTCTGCTCATCATTGCCAACTGGGTGGTGCTCATCTCCATTTCAAGGGCCACTGAGCCAGTACTGTCCAAAGACATTTATGTGGTCACATGGCCAGCATGACACCATGGAATTTACTCACATCTACTCATATCTACTCATTTGCATGCTTTTGAGCTGCTAGATGGGCTGGAGCTGGGGCAAATAACACGAGTCACCCTGTCACATGGCACTCAGGTCTTAAAGCAGGTTGTCACCTTACCAGCAAACAAGTCCTGCATCCTAACCACTGAGATAGAATAGATAGCTGTCAGCCCCATCGGAGCTCAGTTTGGAGGAGGAGGAGTTGGAATCGGTACCGTCCAACGGGGATGGCACATCTCCCTTGGCATGCTTGGGAGGCTAGGGACAATGCTGTCCCAGGCTCCTTGGGCATTGGGGGAGGTGGTCAACTGGAGCTGCTTGCCCTCCTAGACATAAGGGAGGATGGGCTGCTGACAGGCAGTGGTGCTAACAAGCTGCAGATCCCCTCTGATGAGGAACAGCTGCCTCCACTCAATCCAAGGGCGAGTGGCGCATTGGCAAGCTCAGAGAAGGGCTATGAAGTTACTCAGGAAAAGGTGACCCCATCCCCCCTCACAAGAAACACCTGGAGTGGATTGACTTAAGGAGAAGCCATGGGGAGTTAGTCTTTGCCAGGAACAAATTTGTTTCTGCTTACACTTCCCCAGCTTTGACTAATGCCTTTTGCCTCTCCTATCTGTGAGGACTGCCTTTTGCTTTGTATCTTGCCTTTGCCCCAAGGACTGTCTGGTGCCTTGTCTTTGCCTTGTGGACCACAGTTTGCCTCATTGGCTCAACCGGGTGGACTGGACCTGGTCTGTGGACTTTTTTGTTATATGCAGGCTGTTGCTTGCGGGACTGAGGTGCCTGTTTTCAGGATAGCGTGGGGTAGAACCTTACTGGTTGTTGGATAGCCATTTGTTGGAACATTTACTTAGAGCAATAAAGGACTCTTTAGAGGCCTCCCTTGCCTTGACTACTTGGGTCATAACAGCAACTTCCACATTAATGTGAAAATTCTTAGATTTTCCAAACACTTACCATAGTGCCCTCTGCAATTTTCTCGGGCCCTTCCTTGCTTGTGCTGGCCTTCTTAAAACATTCAGCATCTGGTCCATGTGGTATCATCATGCTGTGCAGAGTGGCTCCTCCTGGTAAAAATCCTTGTTCCTTTGCTTCATAATTCCCTTTGATCAAGCCCATAAATTCACTCATACAGTTTCCTGTGGATTTTTTAAAAAAAAATGTTGATTATTGAGATTTGATCCATTAAATTGAGGTAGCTTAAGTCTGGCATGAGTTTGAAACATAAAGAAGACCACTACAGATTTGGTATTTAGAATTTAGTTGTATAGAACCAGAACTGTCCAAAGTCCCACTGGATGTTGTTTTTAGAACAAGCAAACAGCAGGATATTCCTTCCCTCCCTTCACTTTAGTATATATTGTATTTCCAAGAATTGAAATTTGCAGCCCTTTATCAGGGATCTTTCAAACATCTGGCCTAGTTTTTAAATTCTGTTAGTAAGTCTTCTGTGTATTCAAATTCACCTTATAACACTAACTGGAATTACAGCTGCAAATTGTTGGGTTGTAAATCAAGGCAGCACATGATTAGATTTGAAATTACAATAATTTTTTTACAGTTCTTTTTTTTTTTATTAAAGATTTTATTGGTAAAAAGAAAATACAACATCCATAACTTGTAACAAACAATACAACTACATTTCGAGATATTCCCATACTATCAAATCATTATAAACATCAAAGGTTAGGTATCTTTCCCTCCCTCTTTTCTTCCCTCCCCCCCTTACTTCCTTCTCCCCTGCCTTCCCTCCTTTCTTTTCTCCTTTCCTCCTTTCCTTCCCCCTCCTTTTTAAGAACTTTTACAGTTCTTAAATGAATTTTGTTGTTAAGCAAATCCATTTATCCCAATAGCTCTTTTTGCTAGAAACTGGAAGTAAATGCCAGAAACTGGCAGAAAATGTCATGTAATTGTGGAGCACTGCAAAGGGCTATAAAGGTGAGGCAGCTGCCAAGCATCCCAAATGCATATGTGTGTTTACGGCTGATATAACTGAAAACGAGTCATAAGTAGCTTTGGTGTAGGACAGGGTTGTCAAACTATTGATGACATGACACATTTCCCCCCCTTTACTAAAATGGGGGTGGGCGTGGCCAGCATGGATGCATGGGGCCCATGGGCTGCAAGTTTGACACCCCTGTTTTTAGGACTAAGCAATAAATTAATTGCTTAGGTATAAGCAATAAAACAGCTTAACTGGAACTTAACACACAGCCCTGATTCTTTGTTCCTAACATTTGAGGTGGTCTGTTGTAACTGAACAATTGTTAAGTGACTGTAAGTCGGGGGCTATCTATGTGAAATTACACAGCAAAAATGACATACATACTGTGATAATAAGGTGGACGGAAAGTGTTGTTGGCCACGGCCCAGCGGGGTGGAAATATAACAAAATCTGCAATTGCCACTCCAGGACGGGTTGATTTTGCAGTTAAGACAGTAAAGATGGAAGGATCCTTTAAAAAAGTGGGATGGGGGAAATTGGCCATTATTAAAACAATTATGCTAAGCTGAAAAAATCAATTACATTTAAGGCAAATTTAAAGTCATAACTACAAATCATAATTCTTTTATTTCTCTGTAAATTACAAAACGGAAACTTATAATTTATTTGAGGCTTCCTGAAATCAGAAGTCTGCTTTGTTTAATTCAAAAGGACTAACCAAAGTACTCTAGGATCAGAACTAAGACCTAACAAGAACTTACTGCATGATCAAAAGCCACAGAATTTATGACCATGAAATTGCTGAGATTGTACTTGTATGGTGTGTAATTCCCATGCCAAGCCACAACGTTGAAGGGAGAGCAGTTCTGTAAGATTAAACAACACAGCTATCTTAAGACATGGAAAGTATCTGATATCCAAAACCACATTAAAAAATATCACACTGGGGGCGGGAGAGTTCAGGAGATGACAACATAGATAAAGCATATAGTAAATTTATAATACAAATTACCATTATAATAAAGCTATAATGAAATACAGCAGCAACGCCTGTATTTTCCACTTTTTCCAAAGGGACTCCACTTTGGGAGTGTAACATTTTGTATTTTCTTTAAAAGCATGATCTGCCATTAATGGTCCTCATCCATTGGTAATTGACCAGCAGAAGCAAACTGGAAAACCAGTAACTCATTTCGCTGACTCCCATGGTTCCAATAAAGGTGGAATAAAAGTAACTTGGTTCTAAATGTTAATAAAACAAAGGAGATCATTGTAGATTTTAGAAAGAGACGGCATAGTCATACTCCACTTAGTATCAAGGATGCAGCTGTAGAGATAGTCAACAATATTAAATATCTGGGGGTGGATTACTAACAATCTGAATTGGTCTCTTCACATGTCATCCTTAGTGAAGCGTGCAAACTAGCATCTGCATTCCCTGCATCGAATGAGGAGAGCAGATCTTTCTCCTTCTGTCCTGGCCATTTTTTACACAGGCAAAATTGAGAGCGTTTTAACAAGCTGCATCACTGTTTGGTTTGGTGGCCTCAGATAGAAGGTCCATACAGAGAGTGGTAAAGATGGCCGAGAAGATTATTACAGATTAAACGCTCTGCCTGCAATCTTTTTCAGATTACAGATTAAGAGTTGGAAGGGAATTTGTAGGTCATCTAGTTCAACCCCCTGCCCAAGCAGGAGACTCTACACCATTTCTGACAAATGGCAATCCAGTCTTTTCTTGAAAGCTTAAAGGGACGAAGCTCCCACAACTTCTGAAGGAAGTTATATTATTATATTATATTATTATAGGAAGCTTGCTTCCTGTTATTCAGGATACTGCTTATAAATGCTATGTGCTTAGAGGTCAAAGCATTGTTATAGACCCCACACACCCACTTTATGGTCTGTTTCTGTTGCTCCCCTCTGGGAGGAGGTTTCTAAGCATTTCAAGCAGGACTACCAGATTCTGCAATCTGCCATTTGTCTGGTAAACTTACAAGATGTGTTTCTCTCACCATGTACAGATATACATCTCAACTAGATTGTTGTTTCTC